GGGCTAAACTGTGTAATTTAACTTGTAATATAATAAACTAATAATATTACGTGAATATTATGGCGTTCTGAATTTCTGATGTGTTTTGTCAGGAAGTTGGCGGTCTCGTTTACACTTGTATTAAAGGGGGTGGTAAAGCCCAGATGTTACATTGCCAAACACAAACAACTATATCGCCCTTTAAGTGATAATCGTCATATTCCTCGTCCCTTCTATTTATAAAGAGGGTTCTCGAATTTATAGTGTGATATGACTCATCATTCATATACACGGTACACCGTCATAACATTTTTTTATATTGTCTTATAGTAACAAAAAAAATCACGATTTTAAGTTAGTCTTAGGAACATGATTAGGTGTCTGCCTGTTGGCAGAGTTGTCTGTCCTGCTAACTAGAATTTCGCTAGTTACACAAAAATAAAACGGTTAATATTTAATTTTATTATCACAACAGTTCACTTTTAAAAAAAAAATGTAACTCTGCCCTAAACATTAAATTACTGTGAGGACGTTTCGACGTCGTTTTAGCACAGAATAATTGTCTATGATCTAAGTGCGTATTAATAAATAGATGCCCTACGTTCTACGGCGCTTTAGTTTTAGATTCTGAGCGGAGTGATGAATGTAATGATTTTACCATGATGTGTGTGTTTTTTTTTTGTGTCTGTCATCACGTTTTGGGGCAGTAAAAATGCTTCGATTTTTGACTTCAGTACCTCGTTCGATCAGAAAGTGAATCTAGTTGGTACTTTGGGGGGTCAAAAGTAAAAAAWTTTTAATACTTTTCTAAATAATTGAGAAAAACAAACTAAAAATTAAGGGAAAAACGGGAAATTTTACGCACACTCATTTTTCGACAAAATCGATTTTGGTTTTTGATGTAACTTTAAAACAAATGACCATAGATACATGAAATTTTTACCTAATGTTTATATAAGTATATTCTATCCACCATGCAATTTTAAAAAAATTTCGACTTAAGTTGAACTATTCATAGGCATTTCAAATTTTCGATCATTATTAGTTTTTTTTAAATTAATATCGATAAAAATTTATTTGTTAGGCAGAAAAGCTTGAAAATTTAATACAAGGCTCTTAACATATTGTATAATYGTAGATTTTATTCCTATTAYATAGTTGTAAATTGTTGATTCAATAAGATAGTAATAACTTAAAATCTTGTTTTCAAAATCCGCCCATATGTACAGAAATKTACATATTATATACAATATAAGTTTCGTTTTTACTCTCCTCCAAATCTGTTCAATGAATTCAAATGGGTTTTCACTGTTGGATAGCTCAGTTCTTTGTCAAGCTTCAAACTTCAAAGCATAATTGTATTGACTACTATTATATGGTCATTTTACTTGCTGCACAAAGTCAACATTTTTTGTTACATGTATTTATTATTTTCTAGCCAATGTTCTAGCCTATGACCATTGTATATTTTAAAGATTTGTAAACTTGTTAGTTGTGCTCTTAATTTATTAGTTATTTATCTGATAGGTATTTATTAATTACTTTTTTAAATCAGACATACATCTCTTTTAACTGATTTGTTACTCTATTGTGTGTTGTATTATATTATTAGATTATATCACATGAAAATATCTCCTTTCAGTCGTAATAAATTGTATGTTACATTTTTAAAAATATACACTTCAAAAAATGACAAACGCTTCAGTTTTTTTTTTCAAATTCTGTTTAAACKTACATGCATAAAATTAATGACTAATAATATATTGATTGCTTAGTAAATAAGTAATATTAAATGTATACATTTGTATTTATTGTTAATAATGTAGATATATTATAGGATATACCTATTTTAATGTGAATTTTTTTTTTTTAGGTTTAGTTAAACCTCAACCAACAAGTTCAGGTTCAAAACGTACTTTAATACCAAATCTTATTGGACAAGCTCCACCGCCACCATCTCCTGGTGGTAGATCATTTGCTGCCGCTCTTAGAAATTTAGCTAAACAAGCCGGACCCCCTTCTACTCATTCTAATGGTAAGATATTAAATAATACAGTACCTACAATATATAAATGAATATTATAAAAATTCTTCAATTTATTTTAAACATTTAAATAAATAGATAAAGAAGGAATCGAGTCCCAAGAGAAACACCAGCAAGAATCTTTAAAAGGACGAATTACTCTTCCAGGCTGTAATAAATCACAACCAGATAATGTAAGTCTCATAAAAAAATAAAATTGAGATATGTCAGTTATAAAGATTATGAGGCATCATCTTTTTACACTAATTCAATCATTACGTTTACCATCAGTATCATAATATGTATTTTTTTTAATTAATGAATTCTCTATTAATTATAAACTTGAAAAAAATAGGAAATATAATWWWWAATTTTAAATTTTTGATTATGTCGTGTGTTCATTAAAACACAAATGATGAATAACTAAAAATTGTGCTTGCAGTGAAAGTTAATACATTTTTGATAATGCACAGCACAATAATATAATGAATATTCTAGTTACCAAAATTATTATGAAATCAAATTTAAAAAAAAAATTATATTATATCAACAACTTTCCTTGATTTATAAATGAGGGGTTATTAAATCTGAAAATTAAAAATTTGTTTAGCATAAAATGGAAATATAGATATAAATATAAAGATAATTTGATTTTGTTGAGAAAGTGAATCATCCGTTAAAAATTAWATTATTCTCTTAATGTTACTAAACATAAWATGTCTACTATACATTGTCAGATTAACTATTTAYCAATTATTTTTAAATGAATGTAGGTTGTTAAAGGAAATGTAAAAATATACTAAGTTGAAAATTAGTCTTGACATATTTTAGTGAAGGTATATTGTCAGTATTTCTTGCGTAAAAAAATAGAGATAAGAGAATTCACTATTATTTATTCTAAAAGTTAAAAACCGTTTTAAATTGTATATTTTTATCTCAAGGAATCAAGATCAACTTGCCTAAATACTGAGCCTCGTAGTGGTTTTCAACCTTATAAGCCTGATGAACAAAGAACTATGATACCTACATCAGCATCTGCACCTCCTCCTCATTTTTCCGTTGACCCTGCCTCATACTCACCTTACCATCCTGCAAATCTTTATTCTCCACATTTTCAACATGCTTTTCGGTAAGTTATTATTTGCATCAATTAAGTTTTATTTATTTATTTACTTTTATGTGTTATTTTAGGATTGAAGAACAAATGTACCTTGAAAGATGTGGAGTACCTTTGTTTCCTACTTCACCGTATCACCCTCATAATAGTCCTCATCCCTCAGCTTTATATGGACTTCATCATTTACAGTCACCATTAGTCATGTCCCCAAGTATCGTAGATAGAATGAAAATGGAAGAAGACAGGCTACAAAGAGATAGAGACATGCAAGAGCGAGAAAAAAGAGACAAGGCAAAGCAACAACAGCGAGTTAAAAATGTTCATACTATGGCAGCTGACCTTTCTGGTAAAAATTAAATTAGACTAAAAATTTTGATATACTTGAAGTATTAAAAATGACTATTAATTGTTATACCTAGGAAGGCGTCATTRATGTCCATTATTAGTCATACAACTAAACCTCAATTTATATGTCTTTCGYGAACATCATAATGTCAAATTCATCAAAAATAACAAAGTTACAGTTACCAAAATCAAACCACCTATGTAATCAAGTGATACCCAGTCAAAATAACAAAAAATCAACAAGCTTCAAAAMTCTTATTATGTGTTTCTTATACTCCTGAGGTCCAAACTTCTAATTCTTYTAAATACTATATGGCAATTATTTCAACCTACTTTACATTCAACAAGTACTGAATTAGAATATATTTGATAATAAACTACAATCAACAGCAATGGGAAATAAAAAAATTATAATTCTTTTTTTCTCAATATGCCAGAAACGACATCTATATATCAACAGCACAAGGTACTTATCCTTTAATTATGAGATAAATGTAGCATTTAATTTCTGTTTCTAGTCTAAATACTTACAGTTTCATTTTATTAGGTTGGAAAGTATGTCTGTTATTTACAATTTATCCACTAATTCAACAGTTTTTTGAATAATAAGTTGTAAAAATTTAGTTAAATTATTTTAAGACCATTTTTGTAATGATTAAAAACAAAAAAACTCGTTTGAAATTTCACTGTAATGAATGATAATGAGAGAAATAAAATTAATTTCAATGTCCTAAAAGAATGATATTTTTGAACAATAAAATCCACGTTGCTACTTTAATTTAATAAACACATTATATATAATTCATGAAAATTAATAAATTCTAAATAATTTTGGTTTTAACATTTCAGATTGCTAGCTGATTAAATGTACGGTCTTTGTAATTGGTAGAGAAAATCGAGAAAATAATGTTTGATGTTTAGTTAAATATTTTTTTCAATCATGTCACAAATTCTACCTGATTATTCCCAATTGCTCAAAAGGAACTCTTTGTTTTTTCTATGTATTTGGCATTTGAGCAAATCGAATGACATAATCACATCACCCCTATTGATTACATTTTGTTTTACCATTTTTTTTTTTTATATATATATATTTAATTTAGAGAATATTTTTTTTTTTTTGATACTAATTATAGTAGGTATTTTTACAAATTGACTACTTATTTAGAAATTTAAGTAATATTATTTATATCTGTACCAATTATATACTATTTATATATGCATAGTTATGTATTATTGTGTTATGATTTTACTAGGTACAATAATATTACATAACATCCAAGTTACAAAGTACCGTGTAACAATAATAATAATTTTTTCTGTACGATGTCATGCATTATATGATCATTAAGTGAGATCTACAATATTGTTATGTGATATATACTAACTTAAGATATTATTTTCTTGTATAATTGGTTGCTAGCTATTTAAGAGTCATTGTTCAATGATAACGAGCTGATAATTAATAGCTGGCATCTCAATGGCCCCTTTCCCTCACCACTTTTATTTTATTTTTTTATTATATTATTATATGTATTTTTTTTTTTTATAATTATACATAATATGTAATATCTGATACAATATTGGGAACAACCAATTATGTCCTGTGATTTTTTAAGCCTGGTATACTAATCCTTTAATTTTCCCAAATAATAAATAGTTCAATACTTTTAATTTAAATTATGTTCTTCTAATTAATAGTTCCTACCTACCCAAATTTAAGCTATGTTTTTTATAATAATGCTTAAAGTGTCCTGTTTCAGTATTATATTATTTTTTCTACTATAACTTATTCATGAACAAACTTTATTTTCTAAATGAATTTTGTTACCTTATTACTATGTAAAATCATGATGTTCATTGATTTTMATATTATGACTGAAAGCCAAGGCACATAATAAATATATACATATTATATAATAATACCCGCACTCACTCCTACTAGAATAATATAATGATTTTAGTTAATATAACATAAATGGTTTATATATTGATCTTTTTTATTGCTTAAAAATTATTTTGTAAATAAATTATTGAATAAAAAAAAGATTAAAATAACACGTTGTATTTTCTTTATTCATTCTGTCTTCAATTTTTGTGAGACATTAGTAGGAAGGAACATAAGACACCAAAATGACGTCCAAACAGGCAACAATAACAATACACCGACCGAAAACGCCCAATTGCCATAAATCATGTTGTCGACTGTTGACAATACCATCCATTGGCCTGATGCCTCTAGAACTTTAGTCAAAAAATCCACAAACGGCAGTTCAGGATAAGCAGCGTAAGTGATGTATGCAGTAATCCAAAATAATGAGCACATGGGGTGCACAAGTAACCAAAGTAGTTTTACTATTAAACTGAAACAGAAATTAAATAATATTAAAACATTGAGAAATAAGTTCAATTGTATTAATTATGTATGTATATTGTATACTTGTTATGGCTAGATTTAGTGCAAACTGCAGGTAGAACATACACGAGAGCTGTTAAATATCCGAGCGAAAAATTATGCATTGAAACACATAATAAACCAACTCCAAGTTCTAGTAAACAAATTACGTGTAACAGCACCCAATTTGAAGATTTGAAAGAATTTAGACATCTATAAACATTAATATTTACTTATTTAATTGTACAAACAAATAAAATGGTTATAGATGTTAAAAATTTCCTTGTTTAGGTTTACAAAAATAAGTAAATATTAATGAAAATTATTATTATAAACCAAAACAGAGATTTTTTAACACCTATTATAATCATATTTTTGTTTATACAATTAAAAGTGTACACAAAATTCTATTTTTATCATAATGATTTTTTTATGACTTAAGAGMCCATTAATAAGTTCCAATTTCATATAATTTAGAAAATATCTTTACATCATGACTAAATAAATATGTATGATCACAACTTTGAGATACACATACCACCCTTGMCCTATCCCGAAGTTCTCTGCTTCTGTTATATTCCATTAACATTGCCAACAAATGAATGTGGAGAAACACGAGCAATGGTTTTGTAAATAGGATAGTCGGGATATGCCCAAACCAGATGAAAACTGTTTTTTTGCAATCATACATAATATTTATTTAGTCATACTTTACATGAAGTTAAAACCAATAAGTAATCTTAAAATCAAATAAGGTTATCAGTGTCGATTGTTAAAAATAACTTCCTATAGTTTATTAAATTCAAATAAATTATTTCTAAATACAACTTTTACATACTTTTTCATTATTATTGGTAGAAATAAAACTATGGTTATAGATACTGAACCATAACCTAGTAATAATGCACGATGTGTTGGTATACGGTTCCAAAAATTTGTAAAATATGCTGGTGCCAAATTTGGTAATAATATCAAGCCAACGACATGAGAACCTAATAAAATTCCACTGACCACTCCAACATTCAAATGTTCAGGAATCTATAAATAAATACAATTTTCCAATAATTAATTATATAAATCATCTATATATAAATGGTGTAAATACAGTAGCTTCTGCTGACGAGTCACTCGATTTATGTTCGGAAGAATGTTGAATCCAAGTCGAGAAAGCTTTTAAAAACAAAGCCCCGACGAGCAATACCAAACAAGGCATATATAAACCTAATAAAACAATTCACCTTTTAAAAAATTTGTAGTATCAATAAATTCAAGAATAAAATTGTTATATATATATATTGTATTTTATCATAATATTATATTACAGTATGATATAACTAATATTGTAATTACCAATTGAAACGTATCTATCCGTAGAAGGTAGCAGATAAAAAAAAAATGACTGATGAAATCTTTCAAGCAGATTATTCAAGCTACGGAACATGCCTTCAATAACCCTTAAAATAAAGGAGTACATTTAAAGAATAAAATAATATTAATAATTTAAGTTATATAATTGACACATGCATCATATGCAATACCTTCCAACTTGGAATACACTGGAGTAAATGCCTCGTCCTTCTTTTTCATATCCTTCCAAAGTTATTGCTTCAATACCAAATCTATAAAAAAAAAAAACAAAATAGTGTACACGTCAATTAAAGTAAATAATAAAATATCTGGTTAAATTTCACCTATGAAAAAGCCCGTGGTTACCATCAGGCACTCCAGTAGCTTGAGTCATTACCATAGACATCATTGTACTCAAGTTTGTGTAATACGAGTTGACTTTACTACGACCTATAGCCTATAAAAAAAAAATTAATTAAAACTAATATAAAACTAAAAAAAATGTATTATTTTAGAGTTTAAAAACTAAATACATACTCCTCCGTCAACATTGTTAAATGTATGTCGAACAGATTCTTTGTTGCATAATCGATGAGCCAAATTCACCAAATCTAAGTTTGGCAATTGGCCATTTAATCCAGACAATTTAATGTCAATGTGATCAATTTTGTCRGAGTGAATTTCTAAATTAATAGCAGCTTGAATAGCACCTGCACGACCACTTAACTTTCCAGAGTCTAAYACACCTATATTTTGAATTATATTTGATTATAATTTGTAARCCTAACACTACTAATTTAACCAAACAATTTAGTTACCAGGTGAACCACAGGAAGTTCCATGATATGCCTCTAACCAAGCTTGCATCCCCAGTTGCTCATGTTCAGTAACCAAAAATATAATATCCTTTGCCCAATAAATTTGTTCTGTTGAAAAATCACATTATACTAGAAATTCAATTAAAAGTAATATAATATTTAATATAGTTAAAGAAATATACATACGGCGAAAGAACTGAGCAATTTGAAACAGAACAGCAAGGCCGGGCAGAGTACTGGGAAAAACACTTGACGGTGCTCKGTACGGTACACTTAACACTATTGATTCTATACTAGCACTTCTTGGCGCTCGCAGAATTCCATATACATTGCGTCCAGTATATTTCTGTAAAAAGATTTTTTCTAATATATTTTGTCAACACATAACACTATATTTAATTGTAGTAATCATAATAATAGTTATAATTATGTAATACATGATTACATGTTTGATTTATTGGACTTACAGTGTTTTTTTTTAAAGGATAATTTAATGTAAAATTATGAGAGTAAGTTTCTAGCCGTAAATTTTTGAATTTTGAGATCAAGTATGCATGAGGTGTTTCAGTTTCATAATCTTGTGCTTCAGCATTGAGTTCTCTAAAATGATCTCTAAACGAAGATCCAGTGTTGTCATTCAACTGGCCTTTTACCAACCCGGGAAGAAGAGCGTTTTCAGAGAAATAAGTTTCTGAAAATATCAAGTATCAACATCAGTTATTTATTATTAGTTTAAAAAATAAAAATGTATATAAAACTTACGTGAGCTTAGACTGTAGTGTGCTAGCATACAGAATAGTACCACAGATATGGTATACATTAATAAACAAAAACGATTGTGATGTCGAACAAATATACTTGTAAGAGCACCATGACCGACCGACGGATCAGTCAACAGACCCATTTTGGGATATTCACTGGTGACGCCTAGTTACTCTAAAAAAAATATTATAATTTATCGAATAATCTAGTTTTCGTAATAAATCACCAATTATACATACCGATAATTTGAAAATATTCTMAAACGACATTAAACTCCAAAATAAAAATAGGAAGGTACGTTCACTTCAACCTTCATAATTTAGATGTGAAAATCCAGAGTATACTAATAAAAAGTGTGAAGAGTATAATCAATTAATGAAATCAAAAACTGTTACACGAAACTTCATAAAAACTAGTGTAGCTCAAGTAAAAATAATATTCAGTCGCTAAGGAGTGTCAATTTAATTATTTAATAATTTAAACTGATATTTTGATCACTTCAGTACTTTAATTTGTTGTTGTCATCGATTGTGATAAAAGATAAAGCCGGTTGAGATAAGAATTGTTTTCAGTTTTCATCAAAATGCCAACCATAATATAGACCTTAATAATTTATATATACTTATATAGTATGAAATATTATACAGCCTAGATGAGTAAAAGGTCTAAGGCATAGAGTAATATTACTCTATGGTCTAAGGTGCCACCATTATAAAATATATTGTCATGGGCGCCACTAAAGTATCACGTTTTTCATCACGGGCTTAGAAGATTCTTCAAAGACCGAGGTTTTCATATTGTATTTATCACCTCGGAACATCATGATAATGATGTATCCATGTTATATGTTAATATATTATTAATTGTTATGTTGTATAAGTATAATATACTTTAGTTCATGGTATCTATATTAAAAAATATTTATTATAAACCACTAAAAAAAAATCGCTTAATTTCTTTTTTAGTACCTACTTAACAAATTTTTATTAAAATTAAAAATTAGATATATTAACAAGTTCCCGTTACCAATTTTTATTTATTATAGAACATATTATATTGAGTTCGTAATAATTATCCTCGCTTTATCCACTTACCAAAATCCTACCTATACCAAACTGAAAAAGTAAATCCAAGATTATTCTTACACCAATTAAAAACAAAAATATTGTCATCAAATACTCAGTGTTTGGTTTAATTTTATTACAGACCTATGTTTGAAGTTCAAAAGTTAACCCAATTCACCAGAATCATGGTACCTATATTGTAGTTTTGTGTTTAGTAGTTTAGTAGTTCATAACAATTAAGTATAAAACCATAGAATTTTTTTAGATAGTTCAAATATTAACTCTTGGCAAACTATAAAATAATGATATATCCTAAACCAATTTTGTTAATTTGCTCATTGTTTCAACTTAAACAATTTTACCCACAGAAGATAGAACTTTAAACTTTGAAACATCCTACTGACCACTATCACTTTCCATCACTTAAAAATATAAATATTTTAACTTGTTTACTATATTTATAAAAATGTTATACTTGGTCAAATCTTGAAGTAAAACAAGAATAATAATTATATTTAATACATCAATTTAGATATAACATTAGCAGTCAGGCTCCCCGCGTCAAATTTAGGACCCCGCACTGTAGGTTTTTACAGGCCCTATTAAATAATATTTAATAAGAGTATCCCTGTCAAAATTATAATTCATTTCAATGAGTTCTCGTGGAGCCCTATAAGTAGAAATTGAGCACAACACAAACACACTTTTTATATTCCTTCAACTTCAAATTTTAACAAAATAATTAAAATGTTAATTTCTTTCATTTTTTTAAAGGCTTGAAAATATAATCTTGAGTTCTCTATAGGTTTTCTTATCTAAAAATTACATTTCATGCAACTTTTTTTTATACACCTTTCATTTTTAATATTTCTTAGCTATCATATTAATTGAATATTGATAATTTTAAGACTGAAATATAATGAACACCTTACCATTAGGAGCTTAAAACACAATTTTATTATAAAAGAAGTACCTCAAGTTGGTACTAAATTAAGGGTATTAAAAAACAAATACAGAAACAATATTTGTTTTATGTTTTTTATTGAAAAAGTCATAACTATTACGATGATGATGTTTCCATCGCGGCTGCTGCTGCAGATTCTTCGGTGTATTTTCCTTTTCCTTTAAGAGCCAATGCTTGAGCTCTTCCTTTGCCTCTCCTGTCGAGGATCTTCTTACGGTCTTTGTCCAACTTCAGTTTAACAATGACACACTACAGAATGGTATGAAAATATATAGAATATTTAACAAGCAAATAACAAGTTCTAATAATACCTTTGAAGGATGGATTCCAACATAAACAGTTGCACCATTAGCTTTCTCACGTTGAATCCTTTCAATGTAAATGACATATTTCTTTCTGTACACTTGGACAATTTTGCCAACTTGTTGACCTCTGAAATGTCCTCTTACAACCTAAAAATATGAAAATATAGATTTAATAATAGTGTAAGCTATAATAGAACTATAAATAGTTTAAAGTAAATGATTTAATTTTATTATTTAATCAGAGCCTTAGAATTATCATTTCACAGATAAAACTCCTACAATCATTCATTCGGCTACAAGAACTGTAATCGAAAAACAATTGTATTTGTTATTTGTCCGTTTCAAAGAATGGTTTTGCTTCATCACATAAATCAAAGGAATTATAATATATAAAGCAAATAGTTAYATGTACTATTTAACATTAAAATAATACACTTTGTAAAACATTGAAGTATTTAATCAGAGCCTTAATAATAGCATTTAACAGATAAAACTCATACAATCAATTATTGTGCTACAAAAACTGTAACACAAGATTGTTTGTATTTGTTATTCGTCCGTTTCAAAGAATGGTTTTGCTTCATCAGTTTAAGTACTTATAAAAATAGATAGTTTAGAGAAAAAGTTTTTATACATATTATTAGGTATAGAAATTATAAATAGTAAAACCTAAGTTTACATGTAAGCTAATTACTTCAAACAGTATTTAATCAGAGCCTTAATAATATCATTTAACAGATAAAACTCCTACGATCAAAAATTCCGCTACAAAAACTGTAACAAAAAAYTAATTGTACTTGTTATTCGTCTGTTTCAAAGAATGGTTTTGCTTCATCAGTTTAAATACATCTGATGATTAAAAAGTACATTAATTCAGACAATTAAATAAGTTTGTTTTAAGAAATATCAAATAATCAAAGCCTTTAAAATAGCATTATAACAGAAAAAACTTTTATAGTTATAATAATTGTGTTACAAAAACTTTAACACAAAAATGCTTAAACTTATTATTCTTCCTGTTTCAAAGGATAGTTTTGCAGCATAAATTTGAGTATAACTAAGGAATATACTATACAGAGTGATTCTTTTAAGTGGGTACACTAATTATCTCGAAAAGTATTGACTTTTTTCAAAATATTTTTTATATGGTTTCAAGTTCTTGAAAACCCAACGTTTTTATTAAAAAATTATATTTTTATCCTTATCATTTTTTTAAGTTTTTTACTTTTTTGAATGACACAACAGAGTTTTAATTTAATATTCCAAAGCAGAATATTTTTCTAAGTATTTTGATATATAAAAATCGAATTTGGAGCTAGTAGTTTATGAGTTATAGGTATTTAAAGTTTAGATTGGCAGAGTGGAGTGGTACGGGGTTACCCCGCAAAATATTTGTCCACTACTCCGCTTGTCTAAACTTTAAATACTTATAACAGTTATAACTCATAAACTACTAGCCCCAAATTCGATTTCTATGTATCAAAATACTTAGAAAAATATTCTGCTTTGGAATATGAAATTAAAACTCTATGTTGTCATTCAAAAGAGTAAAAAACTTAAAAAATGATAAGGATAAAAAATATTTAAAAATATAATTTTTTTAATAAAAACGTTGGTTTTTTAACAACTTAAAACCATGTAAAAAATATTTTGAAAAAATTAAACACTTTTCGAGATAAATAGTGTACCCACTCATAAGAATAACCCTGTATAGTTAAGAGCAAGTCTATTTTTAAATGTAACAACACTTGTAATATTGTATACGAATGGTATGTAACACATTTGAGTATTTAAAATGATATTCGACTAGTGTCCTTATAATAATATTAAACACAAAACTCTCACAATTAAACAATATGTTACAAAAACTGTAATATGAAAGTGGTTGTACTTATTATTTTGTTTCAAACAAATGGAACAACCTCAACTACTATATAAGGTATTTAAATATTTTACATAAAGTTTGTCCTATATATATTGCCTTCAAAAAGTCAAATTTAGTACTTCCCRAAAGAAATGCACAGAATGAAAGATTAATTTTTAATTGTCAGCAACCAATACCATCACATAAATAATTGAGTCTTGATATTAATCAATGAAATCTTACAAAATATTAAAGTTATAAAATATTGAATGACAACAAATGAAAATACATTCTAAGAATATGATACGATTCAACGGTTTAATATCTAAAAAAAAATAAATCTGTTTCATGAAGAATAATTGTAAACTCGGCGAACACAAAATAAGTCTTTAAATCTAAGTTATAAGTTCACAGACCTGGACTTCGTCGTCTTTGCGGACGGGCATAGACTTAACGTTGTACTTGCTCTTCAGCTCTTTGGACAAAGGCGCCGACATGATGCGACGTCTGATGTGCGACGGAGCTGTGAAGTGTAATTTGCGGGACTTGCGTCTCGAAGACGTTTTGTAAATGTTGAACTTCATGTTTGGGCAGGTATCTGAAACGAAACGAATGTGGTAGATGAGTACGATAAGTCACGGTTTTCGTATCGTGAAAATAAATTTGACGTTCGGGTAGATCGGTGAAATCGAAACCCACTACGATACTAACGAAGCGGTGACGAGAGTTTCCTACGCCAAAAGCTTGCAAGTATCACGATCAGAACRGATGAAAATTTCGTACTTACCAAACTCTGCAGCGACGCTCAAAATCACGTTCGAGCGAAAAGTAGTGTAATCAGATGTTACGTTTACGGACTACACCGAGAGTGTTGTATTTAAGGTTGTAAACACAACGCATAAGACTGATGTTAGGAACGGCCAACGCGATAACCGTGGTCGCCGGCTATCATCATTCATTCATCGGATGTTGGCTCGCCAAAGACGTTCGAAAAATAGGAACAAGATTTTTTTTAGACTCTTTGCTACACTCTGGCTTTTAAATTTTAATAAGTCTTACCCTGGTTCTCTGAGTCTAAATTTCCTTCCATCGGCAAGTATACTAGGTGACAAAAATAGAAACTGCAAATTAATTTAATCCAAAATACTTACCTACATCATCGCTGTTCGTAATATAATATTAATACTAATATATTCGTCTATATATATATATATATATATATACTGGTAGTTGTGTAATTTAAAATAAAATAAAATAAAAACGGAAACGGCAGGTGGAATAATGATGATGATGATGGTTTATGGTATACCAACCACAAAAATTAAACTAATTAAAA